CGTCCGGTCCGCGTCGTCGGCGTCGTCGGCGGCCGTGGCGGATTTGTCGTAGTCGCAGTACCAGAAGGTGACGGCGACGCGCGGGTCGTCCCAACCGGAAGACAAAGGGCGGACCTCGTGGACCGCGGTCTCCGCGGCGAAGGCGACGAGCCGGTCCGCGAGCGGCGCGATATCGCGCCCGTCGACGCGGAGCTCGCCGCCGTCGCCGATGGATTCGTTGGCGTAGTAGACCAAGGTGAGCCGGCGGCCGTTCGTGCCCCGCGGGTTGTCGACGTGTTTCGCGTAGCCCGGCCCTCGCTCGAAGATGGCGTACTGCGGGTCCGAGCGGTGCCGCAGCCGGTCCGGCGGCGCGCAGTCGACGGCGAGGCCGGCGAGCGCCGCGGCGAGCGCGTCGCACGCCTTCGCGAGCGCCGCGAGGCCGTCGGACGCCGGCGCCGCGAAGCGGCAGCGGTCCGCCCGGACCGCGGCCTCGCGCAGGTCGTTGGCCACGCGGCCCGCGGCGAAGGGCGCCGCCGCGTCGAGCGCGAGGACGTCGCGGCGCACCGCGCGCGCGGTGGCCGTGCCGAGGAAGCCGTCGCGGACCGCCGCGCGGCCGTCCCGCAGCGCGGCCGCGACGGCCGGCGCGGCGCGCGCCGCGGCCGCGGCGCCGCTCGCATCGTCGTCGGCGTCGCCGGCGTCGTCGTCTATGGACACGAGCGCGAGCACGGCGGCGGACACGTCGCGCCGCGCGTCGTCGAGCCGGTCCGCGAGGGCGGCGTCGGCCTCGGCCCGCTGGACGCTCTTGGTCATGTTGCCGACGCTCGCGTTGAGCAGCGCGAGGGACGCTTCCAAGGCGGCCATCTCCTTCGCGAGCTCGTCGTCGAGGTTATCCGCAGCGGCGGCGAGGCTCGACATCCTACCGTGCAGCTCTCACAATGGAGGCACTGGAGGCTGCCCAAGCTGTGCTACCCATCGAGAAGAGGCTGCCCGTTCGAAAGTTCAATGAGTCAACACGGGGTTCAACGACGCTGCGCGGCGGCGGGGCGGCGGCTCGCTCACTCGCGAAGCTCGCAGTCTTGACACATTCACATCACATTAGCCCATCTAGTCGACGCGCTGCTTCTTGTCCGGCGGGGACGCGAGGCTGTTGCCCGCGCCGGCGAACGGTCCGGCGACCTCGCCGCGGAGCCGCGCGCCCAGCGACGGCGGCTTCGTCTCGCGGCGCGACTCGGGCGCGACGACGCCGGCGACGACGCCGCGCCGCTGGCGCTGCTCGCGGATCTGGAGCGAGATGCGGTACGGCCGGTTCGACTTGACGTCGCGCAGATATTCGGGGTACATCGCGAGCGCCTCGGTCCGCGCCTCGAGGACCGTCTTCGCCTTCTTCTTGCGGCCGCGGCCGAGGACCGTCGGCGCGCGCGTCGCCGCGGCGTCCGGACGCGACACGGCCTCGCTGAGCGCGCGCAGGTCCGCGGCCGGCGGCTCGTCGGCGACGCCTCGAACGCCGTGGAGGTTGCCGTGCTCGGGCCCGCCGTGGAACAGGACGACCGTGCCGCTCTTCATGTCGAGGTTCGTGCAGTGCGGACAGTCACGGAGCTTGTCCGACATGCCGGGCCGCCACTTGCCCGCGCATTGCTCGTCGAAGGACCAGGCCCCGCGGTAGTTGTAGACGTGATTTGAGCTCCACGGCTTCTCGCAGCAGGGCCAGCCCTTGCGCCGCGACTCGCCGACGCTGATCGGCGCGAGCTTGCCGAAGGACGCGGAGTCTTTGTAGAGGCCGTTGCACAGGAAGAACTGGCCCGTGGCGCCCAACGAAAGCAGCGCGACCCAGCCCGCGCCCGGCGCGTCCAAATGAGGATGCATGTACTGCGTGCCGCCGTCCTTCGGCCCCGGGCCGGCGTAGCGGTGGATCTTCGCCTCGATGTCCTGGTTGCACTCGCCCTCGTACAACGCGCGCCGCACGTCGTCGTCGCCGGGGAACTGGTCCAGGGCCGCGGCCTTGGCCTCGGCGAGGAGCCGCGCGAGCAGCGTCTCCACGGAGCCGTCGCTCTCGACGCCCGCGACGTCGGGCGTGTCCGCCGAGTACATGACGCGGTACGTGTCGCCGCAGTTCGCGCCCTGGGCGACCATGCAGTGGCGGCCCGACCCCTTGGCGGCGCCGGCGACGCGCTCCTTGAGCAGGCGCTCGAGCATCGCGCCGATGACCATGCCGTGCTTGCCGTCCCAGTTCTCGAAGAGCACGACGGGCGACACGATGGGGTTCACGAGCTCGCCCTCCCGGTAGAAGCCCAGGTTCTCGCGCCGGAGCACGGTCACCGTCGCGTCCTCGCTCAGCTTCGGGAACGCGATCTGGCGGCTGACGCGCTGCGCGGCGGCCACGCCCGAGCGCCCGAACCAGCCCGCCCTCAGCGACGGCTGCGGCGCCATCTTCGGCGCTTGCTCCGCGCGCGGCTCGGCGGCGGGCGGCGCCGTCTCCGCGCGCCGCTTCGCCTCGCGCGCCTTGCGCTCCTTGGCTAGTTGAGCCATCGAAAGAGCCATCGACGAGGGCGCCGCCGGCGCGGGGCGCGGTTTCGGCGGCGCGAGCGGCTCCTGCGGCGGCGGCGGCGCGGATTCGTCGTCGCTGAGGGTCAAGTCGATCGTAATCGCCGCCATCGCGCCGCGTCACCTTCGCCGCGAGGGCCAGCGGGATCCGTGCGTCGGCGTCGGCGACGGGGAGGTGGAGTGTCGCGAGTGACGACGGCAGAGGCAAGGGGATTGAGGCGCTCTCAGAGACTCGGGCACTCGGAGAGCAGCCGAGTTCAGTGCGCAGCAACAACTTGAACGTCAATATGAAGCGTCTAGTCCGCCTACACGCCTCCTCTATCTTGAGCGATGTCCAGATCAGGGGGGCCGGGGCACACCAAGTAGGTGATACGCGCCCCCCGTCCTTCGGCGCTTACTCCCCCTAGGACAAATAGAGCGCCCTGGACGCGGTGGTGATACCCGCTGGCTTCGGGGAGACGAACTTCGCGCGGTAGAGCCCAGCGCGTCGCGTTTTGGCGACCGCGCGCGGTCGTGCCAGAACGGCGAGCAGGTCGGGATCCAGTAGATCGACGGCGTTGGATACGGCCTCTGCGTCGCCTGGCGCTCTGGCTACGTGGTAGCAGAGAGTGGCGCACGGCTGAGTTTTCCGCAAAGGAGGCCTAAGTGGGCCCCCGGGCCTGTGAGCTCAGAGAGCCGGTTTCGGCGCGCGTCGTCGCTTCGTGCACGCCGCTCTGGGCTTTGGCGCTGGCGACGAGGCCCTGACACCCCTGGACGTCCTCGAAGCTGCTTTGAACGCGGATCTCGCGCGTGTCGACGAACGTCTGGCCGTTACAAGGGCGTCTACCGCCTGCGACAGTGCTTCGAGCGCCGCTCAGACGGCCCCAACGCTGCGCCAGGCGTAGCCCGTCGAGTGCGACGCTTGTCTGGTATCTCCTGGCGTGTCGGACCGCGACGCGGCGCCGCGGAGCGACCGGAATTGTTCGGGACCTTGTGAAAACGCTCCGGAACTACCGAAAGACGTCTTTGAGCGGCATCGGGTCGACGAACACGCCGGCCGTGCTGGTGTTTGACGTGTCAGGCAGCGACGACGCACCAATTGACTCGATCGGACGCGCAAACGCGGTCATCGAGGTCGACTGACGCCCCACAGGGCCCCGAGACCTGATTCGGCCGGTGCGGCCGGTGGACGCGGGCGGGCCATGGGGACGCGCCACGGGTCACCATGGCGTCGCTGTGGCGCGTTTTGAGCTTCGGGCGTCTACACTAGACTAGTGGGGCCCGTGGGCGCCAGGGGCGCCGCCGGGCCTGGTCAGTTTTCTACATGAGGGATGGTGGCCCCCCTGATCTGGACATCGCTCTCTTCATTCTTATTGACAAAGCAGGCAGGCCGTGCCCGCGCGACGCCGCGCGCTGTTCGCGCGCGGCGCCCGCGGGCCGGCTGTACACGCGATGGCGCGCTGGTCGCGCGCGGCTTCGTTCCCTCTCAGG